AGCAAAAAAAAAATACACTTACAAGCAAAAAAAAAATGCTGACACAGCAATAAAATATGCCTAACTGGCAAAAAAATATGCGGACACAGCATTCTGACAAATTTTTGAAGAAGAACAGTTTGAAAAAGTAGCTTATATAATGAAACTTTTACTTCATGTCTAAGATCAAAATATCTATTAAATTCCATTCAAGGTCCGATACAAGGAATACTTGTATATTACAGTGCATACCCTGCTGGTGGGATAATAGTGTATTTTAATCTATAACAGATCCTTCAGAAGGCTGTATGTTAACACAAAAGTCTGGTGTCACTATAAATATCCTAACAGTTACTTTCCCTTTACCATCTTAAATTTGTATAATGAACATAGCATGCTTTGAACCAGGAACAATCCAATCAAAATTAATACACAACAAAGCAGTAGAAGTCATAAGGTGACTTTCCAAACCCAATGGTGAGGGGCAAGTGGTTTAAAGTCAATGACCTTAACCACATGCCATAGGCATCCCATCGGTCAATATAAGGCCAAAAGAGTTTCAGTAAATTTCTTCAATTAGTCAAAACTGAAAGTATGGTATGTGAAGGTCATATGGCGACTTTCCAGTTTTACTGGTGGAGGAAAATCTACAGTACCTCTTCATGCATTATTTCAGGCACAAGCATCAAGGCATCAGAGTAGACCCAACAAAAGATTGTCCCATTACAGTTTATTTGCATTATTATCTTCTACAAAACAAGATATGTTTGTAAAACATGTATGCCCCCTATCAGGCAGCCCAATTTAAGTCCATGTGATAAAGGTTTATTATGCATGACTTCTGACCCAGTGATCAAACAATTAATAAGGGGTTAATAAAGTATCTACTGGGTCATGAACCTTGGACCTTTGGGACCCTTGACCCAAACTCAAATAGGGGGTCCATTGCTGGTCCCACGGACCAATCATCATACAAAGTTTGAAGTTCTAAGGCCTAGGCGTTTTACGTAAATTGATCAGAAACCGTTTTTTTAAACCTACAAGGTCAATGGTGGAACCTTGACCTTTGACCCCTTGACCCCAAAATCAATAGGGGTCATCTGCTGGTCATGACCAATCACCATGCCACAGTTTGAAGTTCTTAGGCCTAAGGGTTCTCTTATTATTGATCGGAAACCGTTTTTAACAAATACAAGGTCAATGTGACCTTGACACCTTTGACCCCCCCAAAAATCAATGACAGGGGTCATCTGCTGGTCATGACCGGACTCACCATGCCAAGTTTGAAGTTTTCTAGGCCGAAGCGTTCTTTTAGTTATTGATCAGAGAGAAACAGTTTTTACTTACAAGGTCATTGTGACCTTGACCTTTGACCCCTTTGATCCCAAAATCAATAGGAGTAATCTGCTGGTCATGACAAATCACCATACCAAGTTTGAAGTTCCTAGGCCTAAGCGTTCTTGAGTTTATTGAATCAGAAACCGTTTTTTACTTTAAAAGGTCAATGTGACCTTGACCTTTGACCCCCTTCAACCTAAAACTCAATAGGGGTCCATCTGCTGGTCATGACCAATCATCACACAAAGTTTTGAAGTTCCTAGGCCTAAGCGTTTTTTAGTTAATTGATCGGAAAACCGTTTTTACCTACAAGGTCAATGTGACCTTGACCTTTGACCCTTGACCCCAAAATCCAATAGGTCATCTGCTGGTCCATGAACCAATCACCATACCAAGTTTGAAGTTCCTAGGCAATAAGGGTTCTTTAGTTATTGATCGGAAAGCATTTTTACCTACAAGGTCAATGTGACCTTGACCTTTGACCCCTTGACCCCAAAAATCAATAGGGGGTCATCTACTGGTCATGACCAATCACCATACCAAGTTTGAAGTTCCATAGGCCTTAAGGTTCTTTAGTTATTGATCGGAAACCGTTTTTGCCTACAAGGTCAATGTGACCTTGGACCTTTGACCCCTTGACCCCAAAATCAATAGGGGGTCATCTACTGGTCATGAACCAATCACCATACCAAGTTTTGAAGTTCCTAGGCCTTAAAGGTTCTTTAGTTATTGATCGGAAACCGTTTTTTTGCCTTTAACAAGGGTCCAATGTGACCTTGACCTTTGACCCCTTGACCCAAAATCAATAGGGGTCATCTACTGGTGCATGAACCAATCACCATACCAAGTTTGAAAGTTCCTAGCCTTAAGGTTTCTTTAGTTATTGATCGAAAAACCGTTTTTGCTTTCAAGGTCAATGTGACCTTGACCTTTTTGACCCCTGACCCCAAAATCAATAGGGGTCATCTACTGGTCATGACCAATCACCATACCAGTACGTTTGGAAGTTCCTAGGCCCTTAAGGTTCTTTAGTTATTGATCGGAAACCGTTTTTTGCTTTCAAGGTCAGAAATGTGACCTTGACCTTTGACCCCTTTGACCCCAAAATCAATAGGGGTCATCTACTGGTCAATGACCAATCACCATACCAAGTTTGAAGTTCCTAGGCCTTAAGGTTCTTTAGTTATTGATACGGAAACCGTTTTTGCTTTCAAGGTCAATGTGACCTTGACCTTTGACCCCTTGACCCCAAAATCAATAGGGGTCATCTACTGGTCATGACCAATCACCCATACCAGTTTTGAAGTTCCTAGGCCAAATAAGGGTTTTTTAGTTATTGATCGGAAACCGTTTTGCTTTCAAAGGTCAATGTGACCTTGACCTTTGACCCTTGACCCAAAATCAATAGGGGTCATCTACTGGTCATGACCAATCACCATACCAAGTTTGAAGTTCCTAGGCCTAAGGGTTCTTTAGTTATCACTCGGAAACCATTTGGTCTACGGACCGACGGACCGACAAGTGCAAAGCAATATACCCCCTTTTTTTCAAAATGGGGGCATAAAAATTAGTATAAAGACACTTTTTTTGGTTGGTTGCACAAACACAGTATAAGTCATATGGCGACGTTCCAGCTTTACTGGTGAAGGAAAACCTCAAGTGCCATTTCATTCAATATTTCAGCACAAAAAATGAGAATAAAGGCATACAAAAAGAAATCAACATTCAAGCAAATGAAAACCACATTGCACAACATAAAATCTCTTATCAAAACATGAAATACTCAACAACAGAAAATACACTAACTACCTACTTCACTCACCTTTACCCTTCTTCTTGGTGGGCGAGCGAAGTTTACGTGTGGCCACAGTACGTTCTCGGATTCTTTTCAAATGGAAGGTAATAAAATTCCACATCATCCATGCCTGTAGCAGACAAGTGGCCGTCAGACAAGTGATTCTGAAAAATTAAAGGAAATAAAACATAACATTAAAAATTTTGCAAGCTGTCTTTAGGTTAAAAGGGTATCAACAACCAGTTCTTTTGTTCTGTTTGATCAGCCAAAACACAAAAACATTTTTATGCATAACAAACATGGACTTGCATTATATAATTTCCAATATTATTCATAATTCAGCAAAGAAACATGAGCAACCCTGATTGATATCTCTACCAACAATGTCAGACCTTTGACTTTGATAAATGGCTCGTAAATTGTCTATCCATCATCATTTTTCATAATTACAAAGATAAAGATTATAATGTTTTGAAAATGATAAAATTATTTAAAATAAAACTGTTATTTGTTCAACTAAAGTTAGGTTTAGTTGACCAAATATTTAAGACATATTCTGAACGTAAAATTTTGTTAAGTACTATCTGCAGCCTTGTAAGAACCTGCTTGAAAAACTCCAACATAGATCAAATCAAACCTTAAATAAATGCCCAACACAGCAAATTGGAAATGTTACAGTCTTGGTTTGTTCGAGTCTGTTAATAGATGCTAGTTATAAAAGCAACTTAACATCCATTCCCCTAAGCACCAGCTTTAGTACTGAGTACAATTCAACATGTAAGTATGGCAATGTTGTAATTTATAATTAAAGCAGCACGCCTCCAGATTCATGCATATTTTCATAAAAAAATTGAAAATGTATTTAACAGTATAATATTGTAAAGTTACCAAAAGAATGCAATTTACACATAATCAATGGCACTTACAACCTATGTTAATTACTATAAAGAGGTTAAAATATGCAAAATTAGTCCTTACTGCGTTAGTAACGTAGTAGAAATATAGTTATAAATACTGCAAAATTCGGTCATAAATTATAACATGTAAATTTTTACTAGAATTTTGAATCTTTTTACCTTTCCTAAAATCTTAGTACATATTAGTACTTTTTTCTCAGGTTTGATTTTATCGAAATATTTTGCTCATCTGGAGGCATGCAGCTTTAAGAGAAGCACTAGTAAATGTGTTCATACGACAGTTATGCATGACCATAATAAAATAATACAGTAAGAATATTTGTACAATGACCAATGTGTAAATATCAGAAATAATTATGACAAGGATGTCTATATACCTGACAAGTCTTGTGTTGAAGTTGCCGGCAGCAACATCTATAGAATCTTGACTAGATTGTTGAAGTCCGTACCTGTAACATATCATACAACATTGTAAACACTTCATGGCTACATCTGTTTGAAAATTGTATACAATATGTCAATAGGCTTATACCACATTGCACATTTTAAGTATGCAAAGGGCAGATTTTTCCCCCTTCTGTAGAAGGGTCCACTTAAGGGATGCTACCCTTCAGGAAATTTTTTAAAATCGTACTTTTCCCAAAATTTCAATATAAATCCAGTTTTTTCATTCTATTTTGCAATAATATATGTACATGAAATTATTTCCTCAATACTCTTATTTGACAGGTCATTATTAGTCGAATTACCTCTAATTAAATTTGTCACCCCATTAAATACAATTGTATGTGTATGGAGCTCAGGTACAACATCTGTGACTATGAAAGTTTTCTTTCTTTCTCTAAAACATGCAACAAACGGCTCAAACTACTATACTCTTAAATATTCCCAGTATATTGAAAATCTTAATTAAGCAATGCGAACTAAAATTTAAGGTAGAAAAGCTACATACCAGAATGTAAGGACAGCTAGAGTTATTGTCCCTAGTCGTACCAGGACAAACAAGACATTGAACACCATAAAGCAATGATTGGCTATATCAAGTTTGTCTGCAAAGTATACTAAGCGTGCTAAGTGGAATACACTTTCTACAATATAATGCAGGACCATCATCAGCAGAGCTACCCTCGTAAAACTGAAAAAAAAAAAAATATCATGTACATGAATGTTCCGTTTTTATAAACAGACGTTGAGCAAGAACCTTTACACTCCTATCTCAGTTATGGTTCATTCAAGGAACAGATTCGAAAGTTTGTCTATAAGCTTAGAGCTTCCTAAAAAATTCTTTATACACCAAAACATTTGATTAATATTTCAGAAAAAACAAATTTGCTACCACAGAGAAACTGGAAAAGTAAAATGTATGAACCAACTGCAGCAGAACAGTTTTTCTATGACCGAGACAAGAAAAAGCACTGTTAGTTTGCAAGCTTTTTTTTACTAATCGCTCCTTTTTTTCTATATGGCTATCTATTTAAAAAATATTTTTGGATTATGAGTTTGCATCTTAAAAGTTTTCATTACTTTTAAAAGTTTCTAAGACAAAGAAATCTATGGTTAAAGTCAACACCCCTTTTAGCTAATCAGGCAATCTAAATTAGATTGGAAAGTAGGTTTAGCAACCCAAGTACATCTTTTAAGTCGTAAAACTTCATTTTACTTCAATCACACTAGAGTTCTATGATGAACTGTCGGTGGCAACAGTCTTTTCCCATTAGACCAGTACAAGAGTTTGGTCATAGACTTGCCCAAACTCCTCACAGTGATTACCTCCCTTGGCAGAATTGTAATCACTGCCTTCAAAGACGTCACATGATGATGAAAGTCACATGACGTTACGTCGAAATTCAAATGTAAATATCGACCGTTACAAAGAAAATCTAACGTCATTTTTCTCTTTCTGTTTTATTTTGAACTTTTAGTGCCTACGTTCGATATAGTTTATCAAAAAATTATCGAAAGTATACAAAATAACGAAAAATAAATTCAAAAGCTAAAAAATATAAAATATCAAAATATCGTCTCGGTAGAAAATAATCTCATAATTTTTAAAATTATTTCTAAATATTGATATTATTTATTTATTTATCCATAAACATTGTTAAATAAATGAGAGAAAACTTATCTGATAGATAAAAGCAGTAGATAAAACAATTTTTGAAAAAAATATAGTATATCAGAAATTCTGATATATTGGGACCTTGGTGGCAGAGATCTACGCCGAAGAATTAAGGGGAGATCACTGTGTGGAGATTGAGACTTGCCCTGTTCAGTATACAGTCAATATATAATATTATATTGACATTTTTCCAAAAGTGATGAATAGTTTTGTCTAGACTGACAGATGGACCAGTCTATTTTAAGACATTTAGCATGATAAGAGTTCAAGGTGTATACTTACTTGAGAGAATAGGCGACTACAATAAACACAAGGTAAAGCACTGTGTATTGGATTCTACCCTGCATCTCATCCTGTAATAAAAATGTACCAAATTTAAACTAAAGTCATAAGCTATTCATTTCTTTTTCCCCCCTAAATTCTCACACAAAAATTTTCGATTGAAAGTTCTAAAAAATTAAAATAAAATCCTCATCAAAGAACTTTATATTTATTGGCAGAGTCATATTTTTCTAACTAAAGCATCGCCATATGCTATAACAAAACAAACGTTCCTCATCCTTATTTAGCCAAGATACAAAATAGTATGTCATTTTCAATTTTTTACACTTGGTTGGTAAGCATATTCTATCCCAATCATAGCAATGGCTAAAATTTCCACAAAGACAATAATTATACTACATTCTTAATTTCTTATTTGAAAAGACTCACTGTTAATCGGATTAAGCTTATTTTATACACCAGAATAATATGAGCTACGTCACAACAAAACCAACATAATGGATTTGCGACCAGCATGGATCCAGACAAGCCTGCGCATTCGCGCAGTCTGATCAGGATCCATGCTGTTTGCTTACAAACCCTATAACAAGTAGAGAAACTGATAGCGAACAGCATGGATCCTGATCAGACTGCGCAGATGCGCAGGCTGGTCTGGATCCATGCTGGTCGCAAACCCATTATGTTGGTTTTGTCATGACGTGGCTCATATGTTCCTGAAGTGGTTAAAAAACCTGGCAATATTGGTGCTAGTCAAGAATCCTCATAACCCAATCATAAACCAGTACATACCTTTTTAACTTTCTGGAAATAGAGCTCTGGGAAATTGTGAACCCAGTATGCCATTTGAATGATAAAGTAGAACTTGAGCATGAATGGCATGTTGTTGTGTGGGTACTCCTGCCATAACTGGTTGATACTGTGAAATCCTTCCTGTGAAAATATGTCACGTTCAGATACAAGTTTCCAAATTTAAACAAACAAATATATCTTTGGCAAAATATCTTTATGAGTGCAAAAATTAAGTTGAAATTTTTTTGACACAAGAAATTTAATTTTCATTCCCTTCTTTGTGCAAATATGTAAGAATAATTATTGTATAGAATAGGCTCATTAATTTTATAAATATCTCCCTGATATTTAAAATGATTGTGATTGTGGACATTTGCAACTTACTCGGTGTTGCAATTTATTGAAATGCTTAAAGAGATGAAAATTTAATCATAAGATTAAATCATTTAATCAGTAAGAAAGGAATCCATCAACGAATCAAGATTTTGTAAGTCAAAAATTCTGTACTGGTCAGTGACTTAAAAAAGAATTTCCTCAGACAAGAAATGTTGCCAGTTCAAATACTACTATGTGTCGTTCTGTTGGTTAAATAATGGACTGAAGGCACCTTGATCTTTCCGCCACTTACGGTTTGAAAGTCATCATATGACAACAGTGTCAGCATGACTGACAAAATTAATATCAACATAAAAACCCTTACCCTCATAATGGTGTCAATACCCCATGCAGCTGAAGCAAAGTAAAACGTCATGAGCTGTCCAGATTCATTAAACTTGCTGTGCTTCACTTTGGATAGATGCATTTTACGATTCAGTTTCTGAAACATTCAAATATATAATAAACACTTTTCTGCATCTTACCAAATACTTTCATATATAAAAAAAATCAAAAGTGAGAAATCAATAAGAACACAAGTATCCTTAAGCAGTCTAAAAATTGCAACACAAACACACCTTAGTATATACAAATTTCCAAAAATGATACAAGCTGTCTTGAAACTAATGCATCATACAATGAACATTGAAATCAATGTCAGAGATTCTGACATAAAATAATAATCTTTATGTTGCTCATCAGTGGCCCTGCAATTTGGAATAAGATGCTGAAGATTCTTATAATACTTACATCAAGGACATATTCCTGAACAACAGCATGTGCAATGATGGCAATCAGCAGGTAGAAAAATACAGTGAACAAATCTTTGATTCCACATGTGTACATATTGTATGGCTCTGCATTTTCTGTACCTGTAAACATTAATAATTTCACAACAGTCATTCAAACTTACGTCTTCACATTGACTTCATTTAATTTTACATAACAAAAGATAACACATAAGAAGTGCTCAACTATACACAAAAAAGAGCTTAGCTTTTTTAAATTCAAAAATGGCCATAAAACTGTCAAAATCCAAGTTAAGGTTATGGACCTTAAACATTGATCTCTGATTATGCTCTCAAATATGATGCCGACACCTAGGTTAGTACCATAGCTCTCACTATTCGAATAGATGAGCTAAAAAACAAACACCAGTATTTCAAACATATAAATTAACTATAGATGGATATTTTTAAAATACAAAAGGTTCATCTTTCCAATTCATTAAAACTTACAATAAGCACATTGCTAATCTTACTAAAATCATGAAATAATCTGGAATATTCATCAAGAGTATCAATTAAAATACAACAAAATATATAAATAATTTCATACTGTGCACATATTAAATGGTCAATTTTGTGCTTTTCCCCAATACTTAAAATATGCAAACAGATAATTTAACACATTTTCCAAAATACACTTACCATTGATTGTTACATTGTGCTGAAGGGTTACAAACAAGGATGCTACAGGTGAAGTTGCCTGAAAAAAAATGGGAAGAATATTTGAAAATAATAAAAATTGTTTTCATTTATAAATGTATAAATATTATATACAAATTCAACAATGAACTGGTTTTTAAGTTTTATCAGAATCAGTAACACCACTTCCCAACCACTCACATCATATATATAGCCACCCTAGGTCCTGCAGAATAACAAAGCAACCACTTTGAAGCTAAATGAAAAAATATGTAATAGTATTATGTTATGGCATTTGTTTCACTTTCACTGTGATAAATTCCTGACATCATCCATGGGCGGCTACCATTAATGTTTTATTCATCTGCTTGTGCTTTGTCAAAAACTTTATTGTAACTATTGTAAATAAATTAAGAGCTCAAAATAAAATAAGGCATTTTACTGATATGGATCAACCCGGTAAATATACTTTTCATTATGGAAGTGGCTAGTCGTGCGGGCCTGTACGGCTAGCCAAAAGTTCTAGCCGTATGTGAGTCACATATGACTAGCCAGGCCACACTGTATTGTCTAGCTGAACGGCACTTCAAAATTATATGAAAGTCAAAAATGCATATGATTGTTATTTTGTTTCTTTAAAAGAGGATTTAAACAAAGTCCCTGCATTTTTCGTTGTGTGTTCACTTTAATAGATATGCTCCGCTATTTAGTAAATAAAAAAAATGAATCTGAAGGTAATACAAGCGTCGTAATCTTGATAAAAGTGTCACAGTTGCATGTTATAAGTTATAACGTGGTTGTTTTTCATGCTTATGATTTGTTGTTTTATTTGTAAATGAAAGATGAATTATTAAATCATTTTTTGTTAATAAAACACATGGATTGAAAAACTAATCATAATGGCAATAGAGATTTTTTCATAACGGCATGATCGGAGCAGAATAAAAAAAGAAAATAGAAAAAAAAAAACAACAGTAAAATGCAAAAATTTATTAACAACTGTATAATTTTTAAATATAGTACTATAATACTGCACATAAAAGCAGAGTTAGCCTATCTAGGGACTGACAATAGAATTTTAGAATGCGTTTCAGGGAACATGCAAACTTTCCTTAATGATGGACAAACTTCTACTCTCGGTCATTGATGCAGTTATCAGAGCCCAGCAACAATTATCTTCGGTGCTTTTTCATTTTTAAAGGTGTTGAAAATTAAACCAGCAGGCTTCGCGAAACTGCTGAAACATTTGCCTGACATTCGGTCAGACAAACTTTCAGTTCTTGTCTGACCGAAAGAACTTTTGTCTGAGCGAATTTTTTTTCCAAATATATGTATATGGTAATACCTTTGTGTTGTTTTTTTAAGACATAGGAACTTTTAAAGATTTGCAACACAATTTTATTCTCTTAAATAAAACATCAGTTTATCCAGATTGATGGACTCTGTCTGGAAATTTAAACATGATCAAAATCATCATCATCATATGATCTTTATAAAATTTATGACACAATGTACATTTCATCTTATTTTCTTCCTCGTTAAAAACCAACCACGAGCGGCCATTTTTCCATTTACCCACAAATTTTCTCGGCAGGCGCCTGGACTCGTATTTCTTTTGTTTCGCTTTTTTCTTTCATTAGATAATAGACGTTTTTTGCCTGGCGTAGCGCCAACGTAATAATTTAATAATGCAGTAACACCAACATTTTCTTCTGATCATCGAAAGTTGTATGTATCTAGAATTTGATTAGACACTAAAAATGAAACGGCGAATGAAAACTCGTTTTACATTTCTTTATTCAAGGGAGAAAACTCGGTCTTGGATATATCCCCGTATTCGTACCGGACATAAGGTCCGGAACTTGGAAAAAAATATGGGACCGGCCTGATTTTTGTCGGACATGTCCGATGGTCCGGCAACTTTCGCGAAGCCTGAACCAGTGATTTTTTTTCAATTTTGAAAACAACCTGTGGCTTTCTGAAGGAGAAAAAAATATAGCATGTTAAATCAGAAAAGGGGAAAATACAATTCCCACTACTGAGAATGAAATTTAACACATTTTATAAAAAAAATCCATTTTAGTTCAATTTTACATGCATAGTACATAGCAAAGGCTATCTATAGGGACGGCTTTCTGTCTTCTAGCTGATATAAGTCAGCTGCTCTCATGACGAGTATGCACACGGCATTAAATGATTTTAGGGGAAAATTTTTAGGGGAAAAAATACCTATTTTGGGCTAGGGGAAACAGCATTTATTCGGCTGTAAAATACAGGAAAAAAATCACTGTAAACTTATTGAAACAAAACTGGATTATTATCACAATTTTGTTATTCAACTGCAACCAAATGCTCTTTTTTTCTCGCCATCTGGAGATGACAAAGATCGATACTTGTACTTTGTTTACTGTAGCCAACATGGCGATTAATCTCTAAAAAGTAATTTGCAGCAATTGCTGTTTCTTTGTTAAAATCCTCGCTAAAATTCATAAAATAACATATGCATTTTCGACTTCCATATAATTTTTAAAAGTGCCGTACGGCTAGCCAATACAGTGTGTCCTGGCTAGTCGTACAAGACAGCCACTTCCTTTCATTATGACCATACATGCCATGCAAATATCTAAATACTTTACTGAAGTCTACTTAGTCCAATATATTAGACGTTACAGGCTTGTTATTATATAGTTTTATGTTGGTCAAGCCTGACGTCTGATAGTTATTGCTCATAAACGCGTAGCATTTTAAAAAAATAAAAAATGTCTATTGTCTTGCCTTTCAAGCTTTATTCAAAAGCTCATCTTCTTTTTTTTCAATTGCATGCTCTATCATTAACAAAAACTCTCAAACAAGGCCATCCTTAAAAAAATGTTTGTTTGCAGTAACCCGACCCAGAATTTTCAAGGTGGTTTTTTCTTTTTTTTTTTTCTTTTTTTTTATTGAACTGTACTCCCAAATAAACATGGAATTTCAAAATGCTGGACAGTATATGCTTTGATAATCTGGTAACAATTAATAAATTGATAACTGAATTCTAATTTAATAAGAACTACATTTTATTTCTTCGATTAACCTTTAAAAGAACGAAAACAAAGCACAAGGCATAATTTTTCTGATTAAAAAAAAAATTTTATTCAGACCATGAATAAAAAAATTTGAGTAGGGGCAAATTTTGTGAGTCGGTCGCGTTACTGCAAACAAACATTTTTTTAAGGATGGCCCAATGTACTTATCAATTAAAAATAACATATAAATATCAATCTATTTTGCCTATCGGCCATACTGGTAAAGTAAAGCGCTTTCTACGCCATTAGGCATCTTGTGTGAAACGTTGCGGTTTTCGTTGCTATTGGCCAATCAGAAGACTCGTTACAAAATATCGAACAGCTGATTGACAATGGCGTAGAAAGTAATCTAAAGACCGTGGAAAGGTCTGAAATTCGAATTTTGCGTGTATCAGATGCTACTGACGGTTGTGAGTGGTCCAACTTAATGTATTTAGTAATATTATTTAGTAAATTCAAGTAATTTTAACCCGTAGTCAGCTGACATACATGTATTAGTCTATGTTTACGTACCGAATTGTTGTGCCGCAATTATGTCTACCAAGGATTTTTAGCACGAAGTCGCTCGTTTCCTGATAGATATTTCATGAACGGGAAGGGCTAGAGACTTGGGGTTGGTCTCATTTTGAAGTTTTATATAAACATGAAATAGTGACAAAAGTTTTTTTTAACTGTCTGGCCAATTGTTTTCACAACGGCCCGGGAAATGAATCCCTTGCTCGTAGGCTCGAATCTGGAGTTTACAGCCTTCTCTTAACTTATAGTATATTTTTAAAGGGGGTCATTTTATACATTTTTTTTCGTTTTTTTTGACACTTTTAAGATGAACACAGGTTTTTTTTTATCAATCTGGTCATATTTTTTCTTCCCAGGTCCGATACTTTTGCCTGTGGTCAAAATTAATGTAAATAAGTCTTAATTGTTTAAATGCATTAGATCTAGTCCAATAGATTAGACGTTACAGGCTTGTTATAGTTTTATGTTGGTCAAGCCTGACGTCTAATAGTTATTGCTCATAAACGCTTAGCATTTTAAAAAATTAAAAAAATGTCTGTTGACTTGCCTTTCAAGCTTTATTCAAAAGCTCATCTTCTGTTCTTTCAATTGCATGGTCTATCATTAACAAAAACTTTCAAACAATGTACTTATCAATTCAAAATAAAATATAAATATCAGTCTATTTCGCTTATCGGCCATACTGGTTAAGTAAAGCGTTTTACAGATTGATTCAAATTTTTTGAACGAAAAAATATATTCGAACACACTGACGGTGCATGGGCAATTATTTTGTTGAAAAAATATTCCGTTAGAAACTTCTGGACTCATTTAAACGCTTGCATTTGAATTAGCCAATCAGATTTCGCGCACTGTATGGCGGCCATTTGTATATTGGCTGTGCAAGGAATTTAATTAAATGAGAGGATTTAATCATGACTTTTCGGATGTGACAGTTCAATTATTTTCTTAAAAGTTATTTATTTTTTAGTTTTGTTCATAAATAGGTCAAAATTAATGTAAATACACGCTGTTTTAATTGTTTAAATTCATTAGATCTAAATCGATGTCTAATGTCATTTTTTTTGCTACACGATTTTGCAAAGATCTGTTAAGACCTAAAGTAACATGGAAAATGAAAAATGTAAAATATCAGATTAATGAATGATAAATATGAAATAGGTTACATATAGGTCTTATAATTAGGACTACATTAGATCTAAATCACTGTTTAAAGTAAATTTGTTTGCTACACGATTTTGCAAAGATCTGACAAAGACAGAGATCTCTAATAATTTGTTAAATTCATGACCATATGTCAAATGAAACTTGCTAATTTTTATCTAAAGTTAAACTAATTACGACAGTAACAATAATGAATTTTAAAGAAACATATGCAATATGTTAAAGCAGTAATTTGATTAACACCGATACTTGAACACTAACAAGAAATTTGCAAAGAAATAAGAATACCATATGCTTTATGTAAAACTGACATGCGCATGATGTGGCATTTGTCAAAGTTACAAACCTGAAACATGAGTCCTATCACAAAAACCATGGCCACACATGATGTTATATCTGCATGATTTTGAATAACAAACTCATGGCTAAAAACCGGTGGGTTTTTATTGCTTCTACCTCGACGCATACCCATCTTTGCAGCAAAAAATAATAAATTTTCCAACCGGCGACAAAGAGGAAGTGTTTGGCAAATTACCCACAGTTCAAATCGGCATTGCGTTTGCAACGCGTCATTTCATTGGATAAAATTTGACAGATTCCGGGGATATACCATTCTCCGGTCCGGTCGCTTCCGGTCTCCGGTCTATTTTAAGCTTATTAACTTGGCCCGGTCAGTGCCGTCTTCTAATAATTATTTGTAAAAATGGGTCGATCTTTCTAGATGAAAAAGGGTGTTGATATAAAACATGTTATTTTTCGTATATGATGTATTTTGTTTCCAATTATTATTTTAATTATACGTCTTTTTTGGTCGTTATTTATTTAATTAAATCAAAGATAAAATAATAAATGTTAATAAGCATATTAATTAAAACTTACATGATATAAAATTGTATTCTATCATAATGGTACTGAACCACCTTACCTTTTTCAATTATTATGATTTTTGTCTTTTTTACGTAAATACATACTTTGAAATGTGTATGATTTTAATAATTCGCACAATCTAATGTGTAACTTAGAGTTATTCCTCAGAATCTTTAATAAACACGAATAAAAAATTAAATAAAATGTTTCAAAGTTGATTGTGTCATATCAATACATAAAAATGTACCTTTTATTCAATTATTGTACATAAGTATTGTAAATAAATTGAAACATGCTTTGTTCTTTTAGAATTGTATGTTTATGTATAAAATAATAATAATAATAATAATAATAATAATAATAATAATAATAATAATAATAATAATAGATCTAATAATAATAATAATAATAATAATAATAGATAAATTTGAGAGTTGATCTGTGTTAATTAATTATTGTAACCAAAGTAAGTGACAAACATTTATTTTTGGAAAAAAAACTTATCTATTTGTTATGATATCAAATAAAATATCTTCCCCAAAACCGGGAGAGACCGGACAATAAACTCGCCGGTCTCTAGTAAATCCCGGTCAAAAAGACCGGAAAATACCGATAGGAGACCCCCTAGATTCCGGAAGTAAATTCGGATACAGAGACTGACATTTTCGCGGGAAAAAAAACAGCTATGGGTGTAGGTAAAGATAATTTGCATTGTCTTTTCCACCAATTTCCATAGTAGATATATGTCTATGATAACGGGCACTTTTTCGCAATATAGTCAGTATTAAATTTATACTACTGCAGCTAGTGCAGACGTTGATACATTACTGTACGAATTATTTTGCAATGATTTAAGGGGAGTACATATGATATATAACTGTTGTATAGATCTATCTATCTATCTCTGGATACTGCCAACCCCTCTTACGAGTATTAAAGGCAGGAATTTAGTGCACGTCGGATTGTTAGTAAAAGGTGAAAAGAAAAGCTAAAAAAGAAAAGTCCAAACATTGACATGCTTGGAAGGTGAGACTGAAAATGTATTCTAGTCATGGTTAAAATGTTAATAGTGAAACAAGATGATAAGAGATAAAATAGTTCAAAAACACTTGGAGTAAGACTAGTACTGCAAAGCCACCACTGCCTGTTTGAACTGACTCAGGTTGGGCAGTGTTACTAGGAAGTTTATTCCATAGTATAATGCTATGAGGGAAGAAAGAGTACTTATGGTAGTCAGAGGATACCTGTATTTGGCGTAGGGATAAGGGATGCATATGTCTGGTTAATCTATGTGGGGTTTGAACATAAGTTGGGAGATTAATTTCAACTAGGTTATGGTATATCTTGTAATAGGATGGGTATTTACGGTAATCTAACTTAACAGTTAATCTATAAGTTATGAGTTACTATCTTTCATACTTCTTGCATGGTATATACAATATTATTCTCAACCAATCAAATTGTTGTAGTGAATACTGAATTGTATAAATAAGCTGACTTTGGCAATGTTAGCTAGGTTAGGTACTGTACCTACTCTGGTCAGTACAACAAGGCTTAGCCTTGAAACATTAAACTGGACTTAGTCCTTAACAAACGTTTACGTTTATTATAATCGACCACATATAAAATATATCATAAACATAATCTTAATCAAATAATAAATATAGTTATTCTTAATATAAAACTAAATATAAATTGATAAGTATACTCATTCAATTTGTTAGGGCTTGTCATATATTAAAAGCATTGATTGAAATTGTATTTACTAGTTGTTGTTGTTTAGTCCATCATCTTTATAAAGTGACACTTATATATAAATCTACTGAGCCCTGAGAATTTACTCCAGTTATAATTTGTGATCGTTTGGTCTCCGTGTAAAGCATTGATTCTCATTAGAACCTGACCACTATTACAATCTTATAAAACATTATCAGTCTACAGTCTAATCTGCGATGTTCAAGGGATCGCCAGCCCAGTTCTTCCTGCATGGCTGTGACACTAGAGTGAGGGGAGTAATCCCTTTTAACCCATCTTATTGCGCGTCTCTGGATCATCTCAACTTTGTCAATATTGGTTTTAGTGTAAGGAGACCAAATAGTTGAGGCATATTCAACCTGTTTATTGAAACTCACAGAGTTTTGAAACAAATTAAATCACAATCTAGATCTTCACATTTGGTATTCAGCTTTTAAATTAAAAGTCTTTGCAATCTGTCTTAAATTTTAAAAGAGTTAAAACAATTTCAAATAGATTTTATGCAGATCTATGTTGGGAAGATGGGTACTGGGCAGGAACCAGTTTCCGGACAATACCAGTCTCCGGACAAGTACCAGTCTCCGGACAAGTATAATAACAGCTTAATTTTGGCTTTATCGATGACGATTGGTATTATATGTCATGAAGATGCTTGGTTTGATTGTTTGAGAAAATAAACTTCCTTCCAAGTTGAAACATCATTAAAATTTTGTGAAGATATCTTACCTGTGTTTTAAAAACAGCCTTATATCCCTTTGGGGCATGTAATTTGTTCTGCGCATGCGCAATATTTTGTTTATTTCGGGATATAATTTGGGGTAGCAATTAATGCACAATGTACTTTATTCGAAGTTCATTGGGTGTAATTCCCCAGAGCTAAATCTGTAACGAATTGGAAAACGGTGTTTAGCTAGGTTTACTCCACTTTCGCACTTCGTTGCTGCCGTACACACAAAAATATCCGTTTCACTTTTCAGTCCTTCCGAGACCCATCACGTGATCATTATTTTTCCTATCATAAACATTTTTCAGTAGATCAGCTTAATTATATAAGAAAGCTAATATGTGAGAAGAATTTTTTTGTTACATAAGATTAATTATCAGTTAAAAATAGATATGAATAGCAGCTTAATATATGTCCGGAATCTGGTTCTGCAAGAGTGAACAATTTACACTTTTGATGACCTAATTTAACCCTTCAGTTTGTACATTGCTTACGTCACCAGGCAGTATTAATTGTGTTATCGGACGTAGTTAGAGCTCAGGTTTTTGGTATGTTAGTTTTATTAATGTATGTTTATTATTAAAAAATAGACAATAAAAAAAACTCGAATTCTGTCCTGAAATTGGTTCCTGCCCAGTACAGAAAACAAAAGCTTTATGTAGATCTACAATATTTCTACGATGCCACAGATTTCACAGTATTTTATACTTGCTATAACTGTGTGTAAAAGGGACATCTACCAGTTATTTTTTGAGAACTGGCTTTAAATAGCATTGCATACGCCAGTGAATTTAATTATTTATTTCTTTAAAATATGAAACTAAACATGAATTGTTTGTCAATGTTTGTGGTTAAATCTATTGTTATTAAAATAAAAGGTCAGAGTAGGGATCTATCAATTGGGGACAATGTAAGTTATTTACATTACTATTTAGTTACTTAAATTAATTGGTTTTTAATTCAATCATACATAGAAAATTGTATTGCTAGATAATGAAACCTGAACATTGCATCCTGATACTGTATTGTGAGAGCAATAATCATGATATATAGATAACAGTGAACCATCTCTGTCCTTCATTGTTCTGCCAAAGTTACAAAAAATTAGAGACAAGTGTCCCTTAACAAAAAAAAAATAAATCAATAATTGGGGACATTATGAATAAAAATAAGATATCAAACTTTTAAGAAAAAATACATGATTTAACTTGGAAGTTTATCTTGTAATAAAGTTACAAATACTTTTGATGTGTGAGGGGTGATCCAAAAATTCGTGGACACGCTGCATAAAACAAAAAGTAATCAAGCAAATCACAGGAAATTCTAATATCTATTCTAGTGAGCATATGTCGACAAATTTTCAAAATATTGTAAAGATTGTACAAGAATTAACGATTCTGCACCAGTTTATATACATAGACATGACAAAACGCGGCGCAGCTCACGACGTCACAAACGACGTTATGCTATCATAGGAAGTAATCTACGTTACCGTTTTGCCTTATAACTTTTCAAAGTATTCCCTTTTAACCCGCACACATTTTTCATGGCGGCGGACCCAGTCTCTAAATGTACTCGCATACCATTCCTGGCTGAATGATGACAGTATGCATTGGGTGACTCCTCTCAACTCGTCCAGATTGTCAAAACGTTTCCCTTTCAACTCTTTCTTTAACCTGGGAAACAAGGCGAGGTCACACGGGGAAAGATCAGACGAATATGGTGAATGACTGAGTACTTCTGCTCCAAGCTGAGAACTAGAGAACGACACACTGACGGTTTATTTGTCACACTTTCGATCATTGTTTTTGTCTCGCCAGGCGTCTTTCCAAGATTTACACAGAACTGTATAACTGTCCGAAGTTTTGCTGGATCCGTGACGTCCATTTTTGATAAAGCTGTTTTTAGCACCTGAGTTTTAAAGCACGAGCGTAAAATAACCGCAGCTTCAAAATGTCTTCTAATACTAATAGAATGACGTCATACACATCAAAACAACGTTATTATAACGTTTCCCGCAATTTTCTTTGTTTGCACAGTTTTTACATGTGTTTAAATGAGATGAAATCGTTTACATCACAGAGAAAAAGTAAGCTGCGCCGCGATTTTGATACTTAATGTTTTTATGTTGTCTGATATATAGATAAAAAATGCAATTGTTGTTTTAAAATTTGGTTAATTTATTAAAAAAACATTGATTAATAATATCCAAAGAGTTCACCTGACGGTAGGACGTCGCGTTATGGAGATACACACATTGTCCGCGAATTTTTGGATCACCCCTCGTATATAGATCACCATTACGTGTGGAAAACTGTCAAAAACTTAAGAGTTTATTAAAATTCAACTGTTCCAAAAAACAAAACTTATGATTAAACGGAACTCAATTTATTAGTTTCACAATGATGACATTAATATGATTGACTGTCAACTCAATTTATTTCAGTAATGTTTAAATGAATAGACGAATAACTTTTTCATCTTCTCCCTCCTTCACAATTCCAATGCCCTTAAAAAGTCAAAGTCTTTTGTTTCACCATCTTCAAGTTTCACAATCATGACATCAATATGATGCCTCTGGAAGAAGTCTGTTTATAAGAGGAGTTTTAGTTTGGTTTTGACAACTTATGTGCACTAAAAGCCCCTTCACAATAAGAAGTATGAATGGAAGCAGTGGTTTGTCGCAATGTTTTCTGAAGGAGATAGTTGAGGAGGGCTCTGATGATGTGGACTTAATTAGATACATTGTTATTTTTGTCTGACTTTTTATTGTCATTTGGAATTTAGCTTTTCTTTTGAAAAAAAAGTGTCGCCATATCTAAACACATCGGTGAAAGTTTAACTTGTTTTCATCGGCCGTTCTATTATTATAAACCAATCAGAAATGTTTTAAGAAATGCCTTTCGCACTCTTTGCATTGGTTGCTGAATAATAATTTTCGTGCCGTGAGAATTGCCAACGGATTCATACCGTGACAATATTGGCATCGGATGCATTTTTTTATGCGCCATTTGCTTTTTATGCTACCCAAAAATTTGTGGGGGGAGCATATAGTCGTCGGGTTGTCCGTCCGTCTGTCCGCACGAACCCAGAGGTACTTGTGTGACTTGGAGAACAATGGGTAACAGTAAATTATCTTTGATCCTATTCATTCCGTTTTTACTTGTGTGTCTTTTTTAGCTCACCTGTCACAAAGTGACAGGGTGAGCTTTTGTGATCGCTTTTCGTCCGGCGTCCGTCCAGCGTCCGTCCGTAAACTTTTACTTTAAATGGCATCTCCTCATAAACCACTAAGCCAATTTCATCCAAACTTCACAGGAATGTTCCTTTGGTGGTCACCTTTAAAAATTGTTCAAAGAATTTAATTCCATGCAGAACTCTGGTTGCCATGGCAACCAAAAGAAAAAACTTTAAATATCTTCTTTTAAAAAACCATAAGAGCTAGAGCTTAGATATTTGGCATGAAACATCTTCTAGTGAGTGTCTACCAAGTTTGTTCAAATAAAAGCCCTGGGGTCAAAATTGGCCCCGCCCCGGGGGATCATTG